TCCTGCTTATAGCGTGATGCAGTTTTACAGAAGTGACCAAACCATGTCTGATTTCTGCCTCCAATAGGTACCACAGATGGAATAAATAATACCATTCCCTGAAGTACCACATCAGCGACAGAATTAGCAATAACGCCCAGAGGAGTATCGACGGAGACCTGATATCCGTCCGGATGAGAGGTCAGCAGAAGGTTCAACAGGGAAAGTAAATGATCCTCCACATCTGGGATCCACGTAGGTGAAGTAACCAAATGTGTTAGACCATATGCCAAGGCAAAGTCATAGACAGATCTACCCGCATGATCGGTTAAACGGGAACCAAACCATTCAGCGTGGTGGGCGTTAAAATCACCGAGTATCACGATCTCTGCGGATGGGACCTATTGTAGCACGGAGTCTGCAGTCATTTGGATGTAGTCGATGAGTTGGTCTGTTGCGGCATTACCGCTATGGGATACCGTTTGCAGTAATAATTTACGTTAACAGTAATGAGTGTAACATTTTTATCAGCTGCTTTATTTATAGAGTCTTGAGCAAAATTTTGCCGGGTTCTGTACAGAAAATGATGTTGGCTTTGGTATTTCTTATTTGAAATAATTCGTAGGTATAGTACTGCAGAATACTTTTCCAGATATGGATGGGCGCTACCAATTAATATAATATACCTACTATATTACACCTATTTACATAGAACTTTTTTACACGTGGTAGAGCCATGCTGCAGCTATATTTCTGGTATAGCTGTAGCACGAATGGGTCGGCTCGACCTGGGAAGGACCACGCTCTCACAGAATACCAGCGTAAAATAGCAGCTTAATGTTGCTATGTTTCGTATGGTGAGTGTAGAGAACCGGAGACCCTTTTTACTGGAAATGACCCATCCCATCTTAGTCCTCACGGGTGACAACGCATCTGCATTTTGATTCGTAATCGAGGATAGATGTAGATGTCTGTGGGCCGCAGCAACCACTTACCATCAGGTGGACTGTGTGCTCGTTTGTCACCCTTATCCTATAAAAAAAAATAGAAACTTTAATTATCATGTGTTAGTTTTTTGCTAATTAAGTAAATAGTAAAACAAACCAAGAGGTCCGTGATTTAAAATTTCTTGCAGCTTTTTTATAGAAAAGCATGACCTTATCACAAAACGATAGTTAATGATTTAGCCATCTGATAAAACTTGAAGTGTTCCAGTCATACATTATTAATGATAATTATTGGCTCATTATACCTGAAAGCTGAAAGAGTCTATTAAATATTTTATAATATAATTGATCATATTCAGTAAGATTGATCGTGTACATGAATTTCATAGGTCTATGTTATTTTTGATGAAAATTATTATTGCAGATAAAATACTTTTTACATTTATTTTAGTCTCGCAATAAATAAAACAAAATAAACTAAACATAAAAATGAAAAACCTTTACAAATAAATATAAAATATTCAGCAAAAGACTACTTAATACATTCTTTTTCTCAGTTTGGTTCGAAATTTTGTCAATGTTCTTTATTGATTTTAATAATTCTAGCAAATCATTAGAAATATATGTTTATGTTTGTTTATTCAATATTCAGTATAGTATTTGACAAAACAACTCTTTAGCGGTGGTATTTTTGTGTTCTTTTTTTTTCGTCATATTCTAGAAGATCTGACTACTTAAAATACACGATGTATTATAAAAGAAACTCTCTAACAAGTTAGGCCTAATAGGGGACCACAAAGAATATTTGAAGTGGATAATTAAGGCCAAAAAATGCTTTGAACTCACATCTGTTGTAAAGATATAATTTTGCTTTCACAACTTCGCTTTCAAATTTTTTCTTTGACTAATTTTATGAGAAAAGGATGAGTTTAATCTTTACGTTAATAAAAATAAATAAGTTATATACTACGCATTTCATTATCATCATTACTGCCTTTCATAAGTCCACTGCTGAACATAGGCCTAACCTGCATCCATCGACTTCCTGCATGTCTTACCAGGTCGTGACTCCATCTCGTGGGGGGTCGCCCTATACTTCGCCTACCAGTACGAGGCTGCCACTCAAGAACCTTTCTTCCCCATCGGTTGTCGGTTCTTCGAGCTATATGGCCGGCCCACTGCCACTTCAGCTCACTAATCCGTTGGGCTATGTCGGTCACTCTGGTTCTACTGCGGATACCCTCATTTCTAAGTTTATCACGCACATGCTATCAGAACTAGTTAATTTTATATACATAATACAGCAAGTTCCATGTAGATTCTAAATATATGAATATTGATTAGTGTTCATGTATTAATTTACGTCAAAATCAGCATTTAAACGCTGACCGCCAAATTCATTCGTACGCTAAAAATGGCCTTCGTGCTTGCATTTATGTATAAGTATTCTAGCAATTTTCTTTTCATAAGTAAGATTTAAGGAATTAAATGATATTACATGTAAATGTCGCAGACTACTAGCTTAATTAGGCCTTTAGTTAACAGCCTAGTCTTTTAGAAGGCGCCGTTTAACTCAAAGACCAGCAACCGACTCGTTGAATGTAATTAATAGGGCGACCATGCCTTATAATGCCGCTGTGTGCTATATTACATAAATATACGCGGATTTAGGGTGGCCTAAGAGCCACCCCAGCCGCACGTCATTATACAAGCGCTGATATTATAAGATAGGTGCAATGTTGTATCAGACGCATAAGCTGAATTTCATTCAGGCCGCTACTTGAACCGTTTTACCTAGACTAGCCTTTTATCTAAAAGGCTAGTCTGTTGAAAGAGAATGGCATCGGTATACGGCAAAGCTGTATAGCTTATGTTTATACTGTAAAATATCAATTTAAACATTGTAAGATTATTACCAAATAAATATTTTAAAAAATAAGCTAGTTGGCTGAGGACATATACATCTATAGACTTAGAATATTACGCCAGTATATTTAAAGTCTATGAATACATTAATGACATAATATGGGTCCATGAATTGTTCAAATATTCTTTCGAATAAAGAATAATAGATAAATCTCGTACGCGCCTACAGTCGTGCCGTATATAATGGCTTATCTATTAATTTATTATTGACGTGCATCTTCATCGTTACAATTTATTTGTAATATCCCATGTTAGGTATAGCAAATTATAATCCTAAAGATATAAGACAGATATACTCCTCGATAACAAATTACTCTGAACTGATTTTTGTTAAAGTCGAGTGTACTTTTACGGTGCGTCAATCTCGCGTCACGTAGCGGCGCTCATTTATTTGTATGAAACAATTCTACCCGTGAGACCATGTGCAGATAGCCGTCAAGCGAACGAGACGCATGCGCTGTGTGTAGCATGCAGCCCGCACGAAGCAGCGGTGCTCTTTAATTTTGAAGAAATTTTCAAACCTATTTCGCGATCCAGTATATCAGGCATACCCTAAAACTTTTTGGTGGAGTGTGTTCGTATCGAGGCTGAAAGAGTAAATTTTTGCAGTAAATAATGTAAATAAATATGTTATAATGTTTATAATGTAAATAAATTAGATATCGGATTTTGTAACAGTATTCTGGCATCGCCTTTGTCTGAGGAAGCCAGAATCTTGTACAAAATGGTCCAAGTTGGACTTAAAAGAAGATTTAAAAAAATATAAATACAATGAGGGTGGCATTATCATATTTTTATAAAATCCTCTTTAAAAAATAAAAGATAAAAAAAGTAAAAAGATATGTCTAAATACGTTTCACTTCCAGGCATAGCAATAGTGTTCACGTGTCGTGAGCATGCAATTCACAAATATTTGTTGAGTATTTATTTAACTCACACGTTATTATAAATAGTAATGTCATATTTGGATAAAGTCTTTTTGGATTCGGACATCAACATTCTTGTTACAACTATACTATTAATATAGCTGCAGCATGGCTCTACGACGTATAAAATATATAATTACAAAATAAAAATAAATGCGATGAAATTTCTTTAAATATGAAACGATTTTACTTAAACAATTTTGTTAAAAACGTACTTTAACAAGCACCCAAATTGTTTCCTTATCGTAAGAAAAGCTTTTAAAATATTTAACAGTTAATGCCTACTTATTACCGATAAACAACTTCTCAAATGGATATACCATTAAAGGAGTTTCTGGGGTAAGAAAAACATGTTTTCTTTGACACGTGTTAAATAATTAATAATGTTTAAAAATAATGTTATGATTTATAATGCCATGTTATTCTAATTTATTATGTATCATACTGTAGTTTTAAATTTAAATGCTTATACAGATATCTATGTATTTAAGAACAGCCGAACCGCTCTTTGCACAAATTGGCCTACAATATTTCAAAGTTCTATATTTAAATGTACCTATATCATGTATTTAATTCGCACTAACTGGCATGTTGCCAGTGAAACTGGAACTTTAATGCTACTAATATGAGGAGGCTCAAGCCTGTTCCCGAGTGTTGTTATTTCTCGTACTAGCAAGCGCTGTGTTGGACGATTCCCCTTTAGATGTAGTGATGACCTAATAAAAAATGTACAGGGTTGATGGATGCAGGTTGATTATTTTTTTTTTACAATCTATGAGGGAGGCTTATGTTTATTTGTGGACTTGTGTCGACTGTAATGATAATAATGGTAATGGACGTAATATTACCAACATATACTAGTGAAATAAATCCAGCTTAACATTTTTTGTGAGTCGGGCAAACTCATATCAATTTAGATTGATAAAAAACAGAAAGCGGTTTGGCAGATTCTCTCATCATCCCATGGATGTCGTAAGAGGCAACAAAGGGTAACTGAAGCTGGGGACGGGTACAGTATAAAAGGCTACGGTTTCCAACCTCACGCTAAGCATGGCAACCATGATAAATATCTCCTCTCTTAGGAAAATGCCACCAAAATGGACTCCTAAGCATAAAAAGACTGTACTCACCCTAAAAAAAACAATTTGTAAGAAATAATAAAAGTTACACAAATGAAACGCGCAAAATTATGAACAGTTTACTGATATTATTTTACTTAATATTAATCGTGTAAAATGGCACATAGTGCTAACGTAAAAATAATTATTTTAGATATACGCAAACTTGATCCTTTCCCTTGGTGCAGTTCCGCCAAGCTTTCACCTATAACAAAAAAAAACTTAATTTAATTTTAATTGCCTTTCTGCACGAATATATTTTTTTTTACCTTAGGACCTACGGATTGCAAATCATATACTCGCATAAGAAGACTATTTTAACATATCTGTTTGGGATAAAAGTTCCAAAATAAATAAAGAGCAAAAAAAAAGAAGAAATTTAATCTAAATTTTATGTGCTTCGAAAGGACGAGTGAAAATCCGTGCCATTTTTACTGTTATCAAGGTATTCCACCTTGTCCGCAAAAGTGTCAACACATCATTTTGCTACTTAATTAATGACAAATATACATACATTTCCCTTTTCTGACGTAAAGCTAACTTAGAAATAAGAGTATGCACTCAGCAGTGAAGGGCATGCAGACTGTTACTTTGCTTCACTTCATGTTCTTCTTCATCAGCCTTTCTTAATGATAATCGGTTATTGCAGCCCATGGACCTGTGGATTATGGATTGACACTTCCAACCAACTTCAAACAAAGGTTGCCACAGATGTGTTATCACTCGTCAAGTCTTGACTTGAATACCTCCCAGTCTGTTATTATACTGAATCCCTTACTCTTCAAACTGGAGCAAAGCTACCAGCAGAACTGCGATGGCGGTTTAACCCAGACCAATCCTTCAAAAGGAAAAGAGCCCATTGATCTGTTTTTTTTTCTTCTTATGAGTGATAAGGTATAAAGTTCCAATTGCTGTGTAGTGTAAGTAACGTGAAGTAAACCAACAATAAAATGAAATGTAAACAAGGAACGCAACGCTAGAGATGAGGTGTTCACCTCTGAGGAGAAATATATAAATATAATCCGGGATGGTATCTATCCAAACAAAGAGGACTCCCAAATAATGATTTAGATGAATTGCTGTCACCGCCGAGCACAGTAATAATAGTTATTTTATTTACTTTTACCTTTTATAACGTGTAAGATGACATGTGCTGGAGAAGGCGCTGGTGGCGGTGCGCGTGCGACGCTGCATGTGTAGCGGCCAGCGTCGTCTGCTTTCACTCGGGCCACACGTAGCACCGAATTGGCACCATTCGCACCGAATTCAGTACGGACACTGTGCAAATATGAATACATTTATAACAGAAGCCGTACGATGGCGATGTAAGAAAATGCATTAATCCCATCGTTCCGTGTATTCGTAAAAAGTGAAAATGGAATATGCCACAAAATCTTGTAACTTCCGAAAGATGGCGGTATAACCAACTCGTTTATCAAGGCTTTAAATACATATACCGGCGACGAAGGCAAAACACGATTCATTGACTATTTGCTTGTCTTAGCTGATAATGGTAATGATATAATAATCCAACTACATCGCCAAACTTACATTAAATTAATTAAAATTGTTACTGTATTGTTTAAAGCAGTAACTGCGACAGTCGAAATAACAAAAATGAAAGAAACTATAAAAGTCCTCTGCTGAACACAGGTCTCTTCTGTTGCAGGGATGTTTTCCCTTTATCTTTACGCTTGGTAAAAGGATTAACGGTCAAAGTACCAGACGTCTCGTTTTTTTGGCGCCTACCCGTCGCCGGTCTAAGTATAACGTCAACAAGATGGTTTTACCGTTATATCTATCGAAAGTTAAGATTTTTTGACATTTACCATAATTTACCATAATCGCCTCTAGTAACACCAACGGAACGCAACGAGGTGATGAATTCGGTAACGCGGCCACCACATGGCAGTACAGTAAATTTCTGTATAGCTTATATCGGATAATATACCACGGGGATTGGTCAGAGGAATTATTCGGCTTAATTCAAACACAGATGAATTCCACCCCAAACACTGCGACAGCATTTGATATATATTATTTTGTATGCTAGGCGGTCCTCAACGACCAATCATACAACACGTGTATAAATTTACAAGAATTAAAGTAATTAATTCAAAAATACAACATATAATTTTGGTTTACACACAATATTCACTGTGTTATAGTGGTGTAAGGGAAGTCATTACCCATATTATCGACTTAGTAAGAAGCGACTGAGGGAAACTGAAACAGTAGATGGGCAACAAAATGTTAACAATTTTATCAGGGATAAAAACTCTATAATAAAAATAAATACTGCGTTTATCAAACCCTCAAATATGGTAACTATGCTAAATATGTCCTTGAAGCAATCTTAGGGCAAATTTATTTTCAGTTGGGTAAGTAGCAGACTGTAATGGCGATATGATGGTGATGATAAAATATACAAAATTATCGTGATTTAAATAATCGTTTAACTTTTAAGCCCACAGCTGGACAAAAACCTTTCCAAGAATGTATCAGCAGGCACGCATAGATTGCAAAAGGTGATCATTGTCACCACGGTTGACTTATGTTTAACGACGAAGAAAACCACATAACATACATAGCATTTGTATGTTATGTGGTTTTCTTCGTAAGGTTTAACATAAGAATTATGCAATATGTTTTTAATTTTGGGATGACGTATCTATTCGACATCTTAAACTGCATTAAGTTTTCTCCTATTAAAAATAATTTACTACTTTTTCTTCACTTATTATAAGCCAGTGCATAAATATTCATGCACTGGATCGTAGTATGCAACCTGAAAACGATGATGAAGCTGTAGATTGTAAATCACACTTAAAAAGTTTCTTCAATATTGTCGTCAAGAAACCAAGATTAAAATCGGACGGAAAGATAGATGCTGGCAAATCATTCCACTCTTTTACTGCACGCATTACGACCATCAAAGCAAACGGTTTGGTTCGAAAACAAAGTGGTATATACCCACCAAGATGAGTTGTTCGATGATTGGAAGCGAAGGGAGAAATTAAGTCATGTATCTCCTGCGCACAATCTACGGAATGTATCCCTAAAAAAACCGAGAAACTACAATTATGCTTAAGGCTGAGAAGATTGGTTTCAACTTAATCAAGGTCATTGATAAGCATGTTAGTATGCTTTTCAACTGAGTTCAATATTGTTGGGTCACATTATGCAGCACTAACACTATACTACTTGATGGTAAACAGTGGTGTAGCCGTCGATGATAAAGTGCACTGGCTTAAATTTTCATATAACTGAGATGTTTAACGTATTTTACGTTTAATGTACTTTAAAAGTATAAATAAAGTTATTACAAACCTTATACCGCCTCTTGTAGTATCATCATTGAGTAAATATTCTCTGCGATACCACAGAAGTGACGGACCTCCTTCCATTCTAAGACCTCTTACTTCACATCGAAGAGCAACTGTACTGCCGATCTCGCAGACTTGCTCCGATACTAATGCACCGGCTCCATCAACGATGCGTACTGATACCTCTATACAGAAATAAAGGCAAAGCTTTTTCACAGAAAATCCGTGTAAAATAGCAGCAAAATGCTGCTTGTGTAATTAAAAACGCATAACTTTTAAAAAATATCATAAAATGTCTTTTTGTTCTCTGGGTGGTGCAACACCTTTCTTGCTGAAAGGTCCGACTTGGTAAGTACCTCCCTCTTGCCTATATCTGTCGCCAAACATAAGTATATGTTCCGGTCGGAAGAGTATAGAAATCCAGTATAAATACAGGTTTCCATATTAGTCTTCAGAGTCATCTCGCATCGCATCTGTAGTCTTTCTTATTTAAGTTTGTTGCGGTTGTCCATGGGCTGTAGTAGCCACTTGCCATCAGGTGGACTAGTTTACGTTCAAGTTTATCACTTCAATTTTACAAAAAACTTTACCCTCACATTAGGATTTGAACACCATATAAATCGCCAATACTTGTTCCGTTTCGAGATTCAAACTCGTAGCCATCAGCTCTGAGCCAAAGACTTAGCAGATGCGCTACTGGTTGCCTTTTGACAGACACATAAAATTTAAATTATTTTACACTAGCTTTTACTTGCGATTTGGCCCACAATCGGTTCAGCCATTCCGGAAATTAGCCCAGCCGAATTTGGCAGACACACAAAGAAATTTAACATAGTCGTTCATGTCTAAATAGCATGCAAATGAGGTGAAACTGGTGTTCGTCGATATAACAGACAGCCACTTTAGTTTCATTAATGTGTATAGACTAGCTGACACGGCAAACGTTGTTTTGCCATTTTCGTTATTTCTAGGAAATATTATTTAGTTTTAAAAATCGCGATTAAAAAAACAGGGGTTGATCATAGAAGAGTGAAAATTTGAAGTATTATGTATTTTTCAAGGCAACATCAATATTTAATATTTAACAATATATAAAATATAAAAACAATATATAAAATAATTATAAAAAATATATTTAGGGGTGGGTCACCCTTATTATTTAGGGGTTTTAAAAATAGATGTTGGTTGATTCTCAGACCTACCCAATATACACACAAAAGTTCATACAAATCGGTTCAGCCGTTTCGGAGGAGTTTGGTAACAAACACCGCGAGACGAGAATTTTGTATATTAGAATTTAAAATGTGGAGTAATGGCGACGTTAGAGAATTAACTGCCTCATGTCAATCCGTGTATGTCGTGTGGAATAGAATAGGAGGAGTGGAATAGGACATGCAATGGGCAGCAACATATTCCTGATAACAAGTCATAATAATATAAAACTGCAGTTGCTCACCCTCATACCAGTGCAACTATGGCAAATATTTTCCTATCATGGCTTTTGTTCAGCAGGTGACTTTTGATGATGTAATGAATTAGTGTATAAGTTGTCTTAATTGAAATTAATATAGCTTACCTGGTACTAACAACGTCACCCGTGCAGTTCGAGGTGGGTGAGCGGATAATTGACAATCGTAGTGAGCAGCATCCGATGGCCGTACTTCTTTAACCTCAAGCCGCCAAATATCAGGTGGAATGAAACGCGCAGAATATCTAACAAGTTAAATCGTTTTTAAATATCCTCTTCACGTTCATCAGGTGCACATGGCTTATTTTTAGAATCAAAGTCATATTAAAAAATTTATAATTACTTTAAGCTTCTTTGAAGCTACTGAAGATCAAAATATATGTAATTTTTCAGAATAATGATCTAACATTCCTTAATCTCAATAACTACGAATAAGTGTTGTATAATTATATTACAGTCAATTTGTTTTTACTAGATCCTCGAAAATACAAGTCTATAAATATTATTTTATCCATTCAAAGGAATATTCTAGAAGACCTTTTATTTGCTCAAATAAATTTACTAACTGCACAATATTATTATGAGCCAGGTAGAACTGGAAGCACAAATACTAAAACTGCAGTACATGCACGCTCCTTTTTAATATGAGCATTCGCACGACATGGGAGACTATTTTAAAATAACGTTGATAAGTTGTTAAATGGAAACGTTGGTCAAAGTGGAAACTTTTTTCTAAATAAATGCTAACTATGATAAACAGTAATTTTCTTTAGATCCTTAATTGTGACGAGCTACAACACATGACAAGATTTGAACCACATTTTTGTCGATCGATTTCGCGCAAAGTACAAACTTGTCTAATCTTCCAGATTTTTGGGCGATCAGGTTGCTGTTTTGATGCAATTCTAAAAACTCAAAGACAGGCCTTCTAATGCATGAATTTATTGTTCTAGTTTATTGAATTTTATTTTTTACAAAAAAGACTCTTATCTTGAAAATCTCTGAGTTACTAACCACTGGTAACAAACTAATCTATTGTAAAGTTGAAATATACAAGTAACAGAAGTGATCGTTATTTAAATAACTATCAATAAAATATTGTTCATGAATAATCTGTTAAAATATTTCTTGTAAACATGTTACTGTTAATTACCAGCGTTAACTTTTTAAGTCGTTCGTAAATATAAAATTATCATTATTTGCTTGAAGGGACGGCAATACGACAATTCTGGAAAGAAATCAGGCGAACAATTAACGCCAAGTTATGTGAGTCCAAGGCACGGGGGTGAATCACCGTCAACTTCCTGACTCAAGGCTGCTACAGGAAATTTTTTAACAGAAAAACACAATAACTATTATACTACTAGACCACGAGACTGTCGTATTACAATAAAAACATATAAATATAAATATATACATTGTAACTAACCTTTTGTCTGCTGTATACTGTTGAGTACCAGTTGTAAGCAATTCCATTGGCTCTTCATCGTTTTTTCGACGTACCCAAGATACCTAAAATGTGTTGTTTTTAGAGTCGCATATCAAGTATACGATACTAATCTAATCATGTTTTAAGCCGGGTAGTGCCGGCGTAGGAGAATCTTCTTGCCTATTTCATCCCAAGCATATCATGTCGTAAGGGTCGTTAGGGGAAAGCAGCTCAAATTAATAAAAAAATTGCGGTTGTCAACGAGCCTACCTACAGTGGCAACTATGGCAAATATGCTTATATACATAATATAACCAACAAGCTAATCTTTAGGGGAAGCCTATATTTAACAGTGTTTTTGATTGACTGTAATGAATAAACGACTTAAATGGAAATTATGTTACAATCTAAAAATATATGTACATTGCCCAAACTTAACTTCAACTTCAAGAGCTATCACAGTATACTGTACCGTAAATTCTCTTATTCTGTTTAAAATTTTAAACACTTCTTCCTCAAGTACCTATTCATTCTTATATCGCAAATGAATTTGACCTAGATTCCGCTCGGTAGATTAATTTACATTTTGTATGCAATGCAGCGACTTAGTGTCTATAAATCGACTTGATAATTGCACTGCAATTTATAACTGCATGTTGGTCAGACATTTATTAAACGACAATATATTCGTATCTAAGTTTTATGCTCTGATCGTGTAGTAGCGATGTAGACTTTGTGATGGCTTTGTAAAAATATCCACTACCCTATATCGTCCCGTAGGTGTCGTAAGAGACGACAGAGGGAAACAAACCAGGAGATGGGCAGCAGCATCTTACTAATAACAACGAAAAATAAAAACTGGAGTTGCCAACTCGTATTCGAAGCGTGGCAGCTATTGCAAAAATAAGTGCACGTTGTTACTGATAACAAATGGATCTGAGATGTGGTCCGTCACTGATGGCTTTATGAGGAATCATAAGGGCGCTCAGCGAGCTATGAAAATAGCTAAGCTCGGATTTTAACTGTGTGATAGACTTAGAAATGAATAGAATAAGGGTCACAAACGAGCACACAGTCCACCTTATGGTATGTGGATGCAGTGGCCCATAGACATCTACATTTATCTTCAATTAAGAATCAAAATGCAGATGCATTGTCACCCTTGGGGTTTAAGATGAAATGCCTAGTTTCCAGTAAAAAGGGTCTTCGATTCTCTACACTCACCTTACGAAACACAGCAGCATTAAGCTGCTATTTTACGCTGGTATTCTGTGAGAGCGTGCCCCTACCCCATAGTAAGCTGAAGTGGTAATGGGCTGGCTATATAACTCAAAGAATCTACAATGAATTTGGAAGAAAGGTTCTCGAGTGGCAGCCTCGTACCGTTACGCAAAGTATAAAAGCGTTTAAAATGTTTCAAACAACCCCTACTAGATGACGTGACGATTTACTAAGAGATGCAGGAAGACGATGGATGCAGGTGGCTTAGGGGCGTGCTTTATGGCATTCCTTGGGGGAGGCCTATGTTCAGCGGTAGACTTGTGGAGAGCTGTAATGATGACTTTGATGATGAACAGATAGTTTTATGCTCATTCAATTTTTTCGTAAAAAATTTAACTTTCAAATAAATCATTTAATAATTATCTCATCATTGCTTATAATTGCCCATTACAAATCCGTCGTCATTTAAAACGTTACCAAGCATTATGTTAAGAAACAGTTGACAACTTTCATAAAGACTACCAGTAGATTATCTTACTAGATAATAACTTCATTGTGGAGGACGGTCCTAAATTAAGTTTATCCGGCACGAGGCATATTTGTTGTCGGTCGAACATATTTCAACTTTATTATAAAACTTATCAAGTAACAGCCTGTATAGAAAGTCCTATGACTGAGCCCACGGTTCTTGCTATTTTCAAGAGGATTATGAAACAAAAAAGACTCCGCCAAGCTATTTCAATACTAGTTTGCAGACTTGATATCCGAAAACATTTTTAATTTTTCCGGAGTGGTTTCATACGACTGACTTACATACTATGAATATATTTTGAAAACATTAGAGAAACAAATCTTACTCATTACCAATTTATCGTGTAAGGCGTCTACTTTGCAATCTAGGTGAGCTGTAGATCCAACTAATGCCTCGATTTCCGGAGCAGCCGCCGCATAGATACTGTTACCATTTCCTGGCCTGAAATAGTGATTTGGTGACAATACGAATTATTTAATAATGGGAAATGCAACAACGTTATGAAAATCATTGTTTACAATTTTACAATCCACTTAAATTTTTTTTTTAATAAAATATGGGGCTTTGTACCTTGCTATGAAAATGAGGTTAGCTCTAGTTAATGGAAAGTCCAGATTTCGATTTCAGTATAAATCATGGATCCGAATTTTCGTAGTTAAAAAATAAAAAATAATAGCAATAAAAACATTTAATAATTTATTATATTTTATTAGTTTTATAGATTTATTTTGAGTGTTTTAAAATTAAATTAATATTTTCACGTACTTACTTTCCGTTTTATTTCAAATCTTAATGAAAACAAATTTAATATTAATATATTATACCAATTTGAAATCACAAAACTCGACTTTCAGTTGTTGTTTTAGTCAATGTAAAATCGAAAAATCAAACAATGTTATATATGAATACGAATTACGATGTAGGTCAAACGAGACACAAACGTGGCGTAACGTCAATCCTGTTTTAGGAGAGGATGCGACAAATGGACGTACTGTTCGATTAGTCGCTGTTATATTGCAAAATGTTGATTTGTAATAAACCACGGTGAACAATTGGGTCGAAATCGAGAAATGTCGAGTTATAATAGAAATACTTACTGTCTTGCTTATGCCAATGTCAGCATATCTATAATATCCCCATTTGCGCCGTATTGGCGATATATGATCTTTTTTTTTTTTAAAGGAGAGGGGGCAAACGAGCATGCGGCTCACCTGATGGTAAGTGACTACCGCCGCCCATGAACAACTGCAACGCCAGGGGAATCGCAGACGCGTTGCCGGCCTTTTAAAAAGGAGTACGCTCTTTTCTTGAAGGTCCCTAAGTCGTATCGGTCCGGAAAAATCGCTGATGGTAATCGATTCCACAAGGAGATAAGTTTATTCATCTGATGATGAATAAACTTATCGGCAGAAAGAAACGCTAGTAAAAGGTTGCACTTTATTGGAATATCATCGTATCGAAATTAATCGGTTTAGAGTAATAATGAAAGCACGTGTAATTAAAATGAGGGTTTTTTTACGATAGTCGAAAACGAATACTGCAATGACTAAATTTTAAAACTTGATTAATACTACACATAATATATTATATAGTCATACTAGCTGACCAGGCAGACGTTGTTCTGCCATTTTCGACGACCCTTCATATAAAATACTCCTTAAATTCGTAATTAAAGATATTGAGTGTCACTTATCAGGATAATAACTATCCTATTTCTCAAGTTGGACCAAACTGCACAGAGTGTGCAAAATTTCATTGAAATCAGTTCAGTAGTTTAGGAGTTCAACGCGGACAAACAATGTGACACGTTTTTATATATAAAGATATATATTAATTTACGAGTTTTGTGATTTAAGCCTGGTTTTTCTATCAACTTCAGAAAGGAGACGGTACTCAATTCGACTGTATGTTTTTTATGTGTGTTACCTCATAACGTTTTTCTGGGTGAACCGGTATCGATCATTATTTGTTTTTTTAAAAAGCTGCTTTATTTTTCTGGTGCTACTCATGTATAAATTATCCAGGTTTGATCAATAGTTTTTGAGTTATTCTTAATAATTTATATTGAAGTCCGTTGTACAACTTTTTTTTATTTTAAATTAAATATTTACCAGATGTTTCGTTACCTAAACGAACTTTTTACAGTGTAACACAAACTCAATAGAAAAATTATATATAAATGAAACACTTATTAAGCAACTCATGGCAACTTTGTTTTATATTAAGAGGTTGTTAGTTAGTGAATGAATATTTTTACAAAATATTCAACATAAAACAATGCATATTATAATAAAACTAACTAGACTGGTAGACATTCTGCCGGTAAATGGCGCAAAAAGTTTCAGTCTGAATCGAATCCTAACTTTTTACAATAATTAGTAACTCAACCACAGTACTGCCTATTAGGTCCAGATATTGTGATTTTCTTTTTTGACATTAAACACACTTACTATATTCTAAATATAGAGTAATGTTCGTCCATAAATACAGATCATTTTTAATAACATGACGATAACGGCACCTATCGGATACTAGCAGAAATATGAACTATCCTCGCGATAAAATAAGTTCAGAAGTTGCACAATGACATTCTTTATTTTATTGCATTTGATCTTACCTTTCATTTCTATGCTGGTGAGTGTTTGAATATGTATCAAATATATAGTTTAGTAGTGGTGCATTAGACCCAACTTCCCCAATTTTTCGTCTTCTTTCAGGTAATGAATGTGGTGTGCTTAGAAAAGGAAACGTTGTTAATTCAAAAAAATTCCCAAATGAAATATCGCTATCCGTTCTTGTGACATTTACAATTCTCCTTTTTCTAAACCTTTTACGATCTTTGTCAAAATCATTCACCTTATTTACTAAAAACCCAGTACCTTCTTTCTTTGTTGTCACTTCGTATAAAATCGTATCATTAAGACAACAGTTAACCTGACTCCCGTCGCTTGGTGTAGAATATTTAAGTTGGTTATGGGACTTAAAAGTTTGCGCTATATTAAGAGTAGAATAGTTTAAGTTAGCAAGAAGTTTAGTTTCATTATGTGAGTCTGAGCTACGGTACAACATTTGATAAAGTTGGTTTATAGTTGGCTGCGACCCTCCTTCGCGTGTTTCGTTCAAAATTGTTGAAGTGGCGTCGGCGTCGGTTCCTATAAAAGATAATGAGGTTTGAGTACTACTTTAAGGTTGTACGAATAAAGTATAAAGTAGGAATTTAATAATTTTGATTTGAATGTTGTTTTTTTTTTTTACAAAATACTCTAACAAGTTACATTCCAGTATCATTATACGATTTTAACACTGGCAATAGCATAAAATGCCGTGGTCGAAATTGATCATTCAAATCGTTACAACATATAGTTATGCAGATACATGGTGGCTATGTCGCAAAATATAAACATATCTTGTTAATAACGAAACAATTACCTTGACTAGGTAGAACAGCAAGCGCGCCCAATAAAAGAGCCGCGGTGGCTGACGCACACATTTCTTCTACATTCTTACTGACACTGTAAAAAAATTATTAAATTATGTAAGGTAATAAATACAGCACTTAAGACGACGGGATGATATAAGCGTATACATCAGGAGATACAATGCTTTAACGTAATTAAAGAGTAATTTGAGGAGGGTCTATCATCGTTTTACAGGTAAGGAATGGAAATTGTTTCAAGCTCTTCCAGCGATGCGCGGGTATATATGATACTAATGAAATTATTCGATAATTCCATTAATTTGAAGTGTACAAATAATTATCAAAATTTTATTGCTAATCGAAGGCAAATACAAATACTAAGTAGTAGGTACCTATTAATTCCATAATACATTTTCTAAAAATAAATAAGTATCTTTCCTTAAGACAGAAAAGCATGCGTGACTTACTCAATACGAGAGAAAAAAAGACTGATCACAACATAAGATAAAAGTAAATCATAAGATAAAATACAACACAAACAAATTAAATTTACAGTTGTATAAACATAATAGTTCGATTGTCTAACTTTTTTATTCAGCCAGGTTATAATTTATTAAATGACTTTTACATGACTATTGAAAAATCAGCCCTTATAGATATTTCAATCGACTTTCGAGTTTATTACTAATTAGTAATATAATAGCTGAAATTAATATAATGCTAGTGAGCAATTCAATAATTGAAAGTAGCATCAGTGGTTCTTAGAATACTGAAATCAAAGAAAATCGCGTATCGCTGAATTCTATAAATACATGGGTATGATGACGACATTCTTACAATCTCATTTTGACTATAATGATTATTTCCCCATCTTCTTCATTCACTGTGTGTATGCCTATTATTTATTTTATTTATGCTAATATTTATGTTATTAAAATTAAAAAAATATGTAATTCAAAGTTATGTTGTCTTGTAATGGTTTGATTTTTAAGCTATCGAAATCAGATTAATTGTGATATGCAGTGTACGTTAAATACGCACGCCCTATATACCCTAACATAAAGACCGTAAGTGCAAATTTATACGGGATGGGGAAAAGCGGAGTTAACTCGCCAAGTAAAGGTACTATATCGATGCTTTGCGTAATTGGTGCCATGCTTATCTAAATGTGAAGTGCCTTCTTTCCAGAAATATCCAAATATTGTAGGATCGGGGCATAAAAGTGACGAGTACGCAACTGAACACCTGTTTCTATCCTAACGGCGCGTATTGAATATCAGCGATTTTTCCCATCGCATATTGTATACACTTTTGTTTCCATGGTGTTATTACCCGTCAGATTATCTATCTACACACTGAGAAGATTATATATTCAATTAAAGATAAATCAAATGAGAAAATCAAAAAAAAAATATGTTAAACATATTTCTCGTACAAGGAATTCTACAAAACACGGTCCTGAGTCACCTGCATCCATGACCTTTCTGCATATTCTACCAGTTTGTCCTTCATGTAATCCATCTACTAGGGTAGTAACCATACCTACACTCCGCATACCGGTACGAGGCTGCGACTTGAAAACTTTCTTCTCTATCGATCGTCGTCGACGTACGAAAGTCTAAAATATTAGACTACATGTATCAAGTTATGTATGTTATACATAAAAAATATAGTATAACGATGTAACTATATTTCTAATGGTAAACGTGTTTAAGTATATTTTAACGACTAAGCGTTATAAAACGCAAACGATAATTAATATGTTCAACAAAAATGAGTAAAATTAAATCTTTATTCATTTTATGTCTGTATAATAGAATAAAACATTTAATATGTCCGTGCAACTTAAGAAATTTGGGCAATTAAGGAAAGGAAGGGGTGTGTATAATGCCTTGTAATTAATAGCATTATTGCTAATTTAATATTAAATGAAGAATTTCATTTGCATATTATATAAATATGCATATTAGTAGCAACTTGGATTATGAATATTACATCATCATCATCATTACCACCCGGAAGTTCACTGCTGAAAAAAGACCTACCTCAATGCATGCCACAAAGAATGTCTCAATGAATGAGATATTTAATAAGTACTTTGAATGTAAGCAATTTATAGTATCACATAATCCTTACATATCATTATAAGCTGAATTTGGAATAAATTGCTACGCGTGTTCATAAATTGTTCATTGAAATTTTTCCTTACATTACCCTAATATAATAGACTAGAACAAAATATTAAATATTCACAAATTATTATACAAAATAATATGTACATATATTTCCACACAATAAAATTACCTTTCTCTGCGTTATTCGAAGCTTCAAAGGACATAATAACTTTTTATAGTCTATTTAATTTTCCGTGTTTGAGATAATTTACTCTTTTTATTCCACGGCATCAAAACAAAGGTTCTGATTAAAATGTTCCTACGGATATAGCCGCGTCGCTCGATCAGTGGTTAAGTAAATTAAACTGGATCAATTACGTTATAGGAAAATGTCAGAAACAGATCATTGCAAAGTGAATAAAATAATAAAGCATATAAATTGCATGCAATAAATTTGTTTAAACTGACTAGTGACACCTTTTTTTTTCAATAAAGTTTTCTATAAGGTCTGCAACTTGTGCTTAATTTTCAGAGACTTAGTTACTGTTTTTATAAGTTTTGTGATAATATGGGTAAAGAGAAACACGATGGTTTCTCCCATTTGTCCTCTTTCGCCTTTAGTGTAGCTTCAGGAGGGATTGTGGGAAATGCCAGAAAAATACACAAGTACAGAGTATTTCAGAAACTTTGATAGCGTAGTAGCCACCACCCCTGACTAGAGATGTTCAGACTGGAGTTCGGTGGTGCAGTCCAGTTGCCGATGCATTCTTAATGCCGGTAGGTAATGTATGCTGTGTACACAAGAGCAAGTGATGCCAGTGTGATATTAAGCCGTGTGCTGAAAATTATGACCCGGAGCAGGTGTCAGAAGTCTGCCTTATAAATCTGCGATGAGTCGAAATTAAGACTTTTTTTACGTTTTAGAGCCATGCTGCAGCTATATTAGTAGTACAGTTGTAGCATTGGTCGGTTCGTCCGGGGTAGGACTACGCTCTCACAGAATACCAGCATAAAATAACAACTTAACCCTGCTGTGTTTCGTATGGTGAGTGTAAAGAACCGGAGACCGTTTTTACTGGAAATGAGGCATTCCCTCTTAGTCCTCATGGGTGACAACGCATCTGCATTTTGATTTGTAATCGAGGATAGATGTAGATGTCTATGAGCTGCAGCAACCACTTACCATCAGGTAGACTGTGAGCTCGTTTGTCACCCTTATCCTAAAAGGAAAGACTAGGTGAAGGGAGTTTCTGGAGCTGAAGACTACAGAAGATGGGTATCGAGGGCGAATAGCAGGAGGTTTTTTTAAAAATAACGAAGAAAAGTTTAAAGTTAACAAGTAGAGTAGCAGGTTACGTGTTCACATTACCACTTTCACTTCACATTGGGGGTCATGACTTTGGCTATGGAAGGAAAAGCGGTGAACGGCAAACATTCTAAGTGGTGGTATGAAACATATTCTATACAACATGTAACAAAAACCCTGTGGTTCCCGTTAAGTACGTTATCAGGATCAGTATTCAAACCTATAGAAATAACTTATTTTAAAAAACTCGACCATAATTGTTTTTTATTTTATAAAAAAAAAATTATGTGGTTTTATTACCTCTTTCTGACACTAGCCGATGCTAAAGCTAAGTAAAGCGGGGTCTTTGACTTACTTACTCCCCAGACAATGCAGAGATAATAAAACCACACACAATTAGCATAAAATTGTTTTTTTAAATAAAATAAAAAAAATATTGTTCGAGTTTAAAAAAAAGTTATTTCTATAGGTTTGAATAATGATCATGCTAACGTACTTAACGGGAACCACAGGGTTTTTGTTACATATTGTATAATATATACAGAGTAACAACTAAAATATAAAAATTGCGGTTGCGATCCCACCTGCCAAGCGTGGAAACTATGGAAAATAGGGAATATTCCTAAGACGCAGTCTGGGGGGGGGGGGGGTGATATATTTATAGTGTGACTTAGGCTTCGGTTCTTTATTGTATAAGTAAATATATTGAATTAAAGAGGGAAAACAAATGCCTTTTGTGGGAACTTCTTAGTTGGGGTTTGCTCTAAGTACATTTATGATTTGTGATAATGATATAATGATTTGTAGTTTTATCTATTTAAAATTACTTCCACTAAAAATAAAAGTGGCAAAATTATTGAAATAATATCTATATGTATTTAGCTTCCGTAGCAAGCTGGCGCACATAGAATTAATTATACGTAGCCTCGTTGGTCTTCCGTCCCCTTGGGGACAGTTGACGTGACGAATTTCCACCATTAGCCAGTCGTCGCATTTACTAGAGAGGTTGAGTATTTTGCATTTAAACTTTACATTTCACAATACAAGTTAAGTGACATAGCATACATATACACACATTAGTTACTACATTGTATGTTTAGTAATAACATGTAATAAAACTCCATCAATGTCAAAGTCAAGGACATTTTTAAAATAATTAGTAATAGTATGTATAATATTATCTCTTTAAAACACTTTTATATCTAAGGTACCTCAACGAGGATGAAAAACAAAACTAATTGTTAATGTTGTTTGACCGAATTTAGCATTTTTGAACCACGTTTAGGAAATGAATCCAAACATTATTCTTTTCTTTTTATCCAAACATTATTTTTTTCTTCAAAAATAACCGGAATCACGATATCGAAGAAAATATTTTCATACGGTCTATTGAATAAAGATTGATTTATGAAAAGTGAACGATATGCTATAGTCCATATGCTCGGTATTATGTTGATGTATTTATGCGATTGATTGGCAGTAAACATTGTGTTCGGCCTGAATATCGAGAAGGCGTTTGTTGCACGATGACGCACCTTCTCTTCGACCTCAATTGCTAATGATATTAATTTTTAATTTTTCATCATACCTGAAACTACTCTTTTTTTCACAAGTAGGTGTTCATAAAAAGAAACTGTTTAGCATCAATTGGA